TGACAGTGAATTGATATAACCCTAAACTTGTCAGAAATGCGGTCTTTTCCTTGTCGTCGGGAGCCATGCCAATTTGCCAAAATCCTGAATTTAGGTCCATTGACCCGAAGAATTTCCCCCCAGCGAGCGAGTCTAGGCACTCGTCTACCCTCGGAATCGGGTAGGAATCCTTTTTAGTGACGTCATTCAAAATTCTGTAATCAACACAGCACCTAGGCCTGCCATTTTTCTTCATTACAAGGACAATATTCGATGCCCAAGGACTAGAAGATGGTTCAATGATTCCTTTGTCCAACATCCGGTTGACTTCTGATTTTTCCATCTCTTGCTTTCCAAGTGGCATACGTCTAGATCTTTGCCTAAAGGGTATTGCATTTCCTGTATTTATTCTATGTGTTACAAGGTCTGTCCTCCCTATGTCATCATCTGTCCGTGAAAAGACATTTTGGTACTGTGAAAGGAGTCTGGAAAGCTGTTGTCTTTGGTTTTCATTTAAATAAGTTGAACTCCTTTTTAATAAGTCAATAAGATGTTCTGGTATTTCTTCACCAGCTGTAAAGCAATCTTCTTGTAGTGTTCTAATCTGCTCTGATTTCAAATCATGCTCAGTATATGATTCACATGTTCCTATTGTTTCCTTTTTATACAGTTTAACTTCGTCGTCACCATAGTTGACAACATTAACAAAGTGTGCTTGATCTTTTGTATTTATAATCCCAGGTATTGCTAATGTAGACTTTGCTGTTCCTGTCGTGCCCTCTATTAATCCGTATTCTGTTAAATGATTTACACCCGGTATTTCTACAGGCATCATAGTACTCGTCATTGGAGGAATTGTCATGTTGTCTTTAATTTCTACTCTGCAAATCATATTTGCCTTCCCTCCAATCCAACATTGTATTTCCTGGTTGTGGATCGTGTGTAAGACCATTCGCTGATAATTAACTTTACTTACTTCCTTAAGTAAGAAATCCTGTCCAAGTATTCCATCCTGATTTATATTACATATCATAAAATTTTGACTGAAATTTTCTAGACCAAGCTTTAGTTCTAATGTGATTGATCCAATAGCAAAAACTTTGTTGCCATTAACGTCAAATACTTCGGACTTGTTTGGCACTAAAGAACACCAAACATTTAAAGGCAATTTTTCGTAAACCTCAATAGATAATATTGACGCTGTTGAGCCACTGTCAATTAAAAAGTTGACAGGAAACCCATAGATTAACCCATTTGTATAAAACCCATTATCCCAATTATCATCTGTTTCCCCTATATGTCCTGTCCGGACATGTTTTTCTCCCTTTATATCAGGCCTTTTACCTCCTGTCACTAACTCACGACCTATTGAGCCAGCGTTCTGTCGTTTCCCTGGTTGTTATTAAAAGAGGTATTGTGTCTTTGGTTGCCCTGGAAGTTCCCTCTTGCTCTTTGGTTGTTTTTGTGTGGACAGTTCCTCATAAAATGGTCTGGTGAGTTGCAACTGTAACATCTGCCAGTATTTGCCCTCTTTGTGTCCCGATTCCCATGTCCTTGTTCCAGCTTTGCTATCCTATCTTGTAAAGCCTGCAAATTGCTCTGATAATCCTTTTCACTCATGTGTCCTTCGATGTCCTTCGACTCCACAGCTCTGATTGTTGATTTCTTTTTGTCTCCATCCCCGAGTATTGACTCATATCTTTCTATAACATCAACAGCGTCTGCTATTGTTTGACATTCCTTGTCAATACAGCGACATTTCATCTCTACAGGTATTACCTTAAACAACTGGTTTAATGCTAGAGACTCCTGCGCTGCTAAGTCAAGGTCATAGTACGCCTTTTGCGCTAATTGCCTTATGTCATCCCCCACTTCAGCTATGCTTTCCCCTGGCATGCGCCTGCGCATCTCTAACTTTGAGAGCCAACGATTTTTGTGTTTTGAACTCCCAAACCTTTGATCTAACTTTTGTGTTAGCATTTGGTATGTGCGCCTGTCGTCAGGAGACAAGCTCATGTAGTATGTCCTTGCTTGACCCCTCAAGCTAGCTGCCAAAAACAACAGTTTTGTACGATTTCCCCATTGTCCCAATTCAGCGCAGTCCTCAAAATGCGACAAGTATTCCTCCCAACAATCCTTCCCAGAGAAGGGTTCAGGTTTAAGTGTTACCTTTGGTGGGCCAATTGGTTGCATGTTATGATTACCCCTATCATTCCTATCATCAAAATCATGTCTCTGATATTCATCCCGTCCTTTAGGTCTCTGAGCTATTTCATCACCATGACCTTGTAAAGTAGATTCCCTATCAAAGTCGTCATTGTCATCAGTATGTATTTGATCCCCTTGTCCTAAGTCATCTAAATCCCTTTCCCTACGGAAATTTATTTCAGGGTCTGGGGAGTTCCTACCAGCATCAGCCATATTCTAAATAAAGACTTTTAATTTTATTTGTTGTTTCATATTTTTTTAGTTATAATTAATTTTTGTACAGTAAATCCACCACGTCGGGCTTAAACCACATTGTTAAGTTGACAGGTTATTCCAAGGTTCGTATCCTGGATGCTAATTAGAATTTTAGCATCCCACTTCTGACACCAAATTGTAAGCCACCCGAGAGTATCCTGTCCTATACTGGGCAGTTTACATACGAACACTCATAAAATGCAGTATCTGCTCCCCGGAGCACCTCAGTTTGTGTTTAAATATAGTTCCTCTGTTTGGTTAATGTATGTGTATTAAACGGCTTCCTTTGTATTTATTTGTTACTGTGCTATTTGTGTTGCTAACGGCTTTCCATAGTTTTTAATTTCGAACGAGCGTCCTCCAGCTCAAGTTGTTTTACCAGTGTAAATGCAAATACTTTTTGAATGTATCCAAGTTTGATAAAATAAAGTGATCTTTTCAATGCTAACAGTTTTATTTGCTGAATTGTTAAAAAAAATCATATAACATTATATGATTTTATATAAATAAACAATAGCGTTCAAGTGTACTGAATAATAAATCCTAAAATACATATTTGTGGTGTCCGACGTGGTGGGAGATAGCTTACTGTACAAAAGACGGCTATTTAAACTTCATTATGTTATCCTAATTCTCACCTAAAGGTTATTACTGCTTTATTTGGAAATTTATTGTTTTCTAGGTTCAAACTTGCCGCCAGCAAAACTTTGGGCTATCTGCCATTACTGAATGCTCACGCGTTTATATACTAAATTGTAAGTGTCACGTGACATACTAATCCAATGGTTACTTGTCCTTTCCGGGTAGCCGGAACTATACAAAATTACGATATTGAAAAACATAGAATTGAAATCATCTTGAGTTGTCCTATGATTGTCCTTATACATAAAATATTAAAACAAAGCTATAGCATCTAAAATATCGATAAAGAAGCTTGAAATAAACAATCGGACACCACTGCGCGCGCATTGATTTAGCAGACGATCTGCGTAAGAACATACAAAGTAAATAACATATAACATAGTTCATTACAACCATCTAAATATTTACAATATATTTGTGTCCGGCAGGGTATACTTATAAAATATTAAATGTGTGGTATTAAAAATGCAATATTAGATCAATTGTCCAGGGGACGAATTTGTATCAAAAGAGATAAAATCAACGTTTCATTCCCCACAAAATGGCAGACGGCAAAATCGCCGGTCAGTAAACAATTGCAGTTAAAGTATTTCCCTATGTATACCAGGCATATCAGACGTTTAAATATGAATATTTGGTTACCAGAAATGATCCTTAATACGGGAATTACATGATATATAGCATGAAGAAGGTAATCCATGAGTAATTACATACATTCCCTGCCGTAACACTTGTACACAAAAAAAATGTAAACAATGATAAAATCATTTCAAATTCCAGAGCTTTCACATAAAATCAGTTGCTTTACTGGATATATATCACCTTTGTACCAACATATGTACACACCTTACTTGTAAAACTATGTTTTAGCTAATGAAATGCCTCCCCCTGTAATTTATTGGCAAAAAGTGAAACTTTGGCCTGTGAAATCCATAAAAAAATAGTAAATTAATGCCATATCTTTGATTTCAAATGTAAAATGTTTCTCTAGCTCGCTGCAAGCCAAGTTACTATGCGTAAGAACACAACCGTTAAGTTTAAAAGATAATATTTGGTAAAAACTTGAATTTTGACTTGTGATCATAGTAATAAGTATAGTGGATTACTGCGACAATTGTAAAAAATCATTATAAAATATGTGTCAGTCTTGCCACAAATTAAGTATTTACTTATAAATTACACCGCACAATTTAATACCTATTTGTTTCAGTATAACATTCCCCAGTACCTTACAGTATGTTTGTGCAAATTGTCATTAGAATGCTTACGAAATCTTCCGTTATGAAATACTTTAAAATGTATTGACAGTAAATCTGTATTGTGTCAATTTCGCTTAGTTGAACTGAAGTATTGTTGGGGAACTACAGACATGCAGCACTATATTAAAGGGAAACATTGTTCCGACGAACAATTAACATTAAAAAGAAAGGTAGGACTTCCATTTGAACCCCCTTATCTGTATGAATATGCTCATTTCGTCAACAAAGGGGGTTTAAAAAGAAGAATTTCTAAATGGACAATCAGGCATCACATTGATGACTTTTTATCACATAGCATGTTTTCTTTACGATTATGAAATTTAATTGTTGTTCGATCTGGTTTGACTTTGTAATCACTTATATCCAAAGGTGTTTATCTAAATGTTGATTACATTTATTGTTTATATAATTGGTACATGTAGTAATTTAGCTATTAATTATTGTAGATAATTCCTGGGACTATAGTTATAAGATAATGATGTAAAGGGTTTAACGTGAATACGGCAACAACCCTCAGAGCTTAAACTATTATTGTTTTCCCCTTTTGTTGATATTTTTTCGAGCTTGTACTCGAGTATCGTTCGATAAAACCAATGAGTACTCAATTAGAAATTCTTCACTGAATTGACATCCCTACTTTTTTTCCCTTTCGTTTAGATTGCTGTATTAGAATATTTGGATGAAGCTTATCCAGATCCTCCATTACTGCCAAAAGATTCCTTACAAAGAGCCAAGGTATGACATTTGGAAACAATTATAAATATATGCTACTTCGTTATTGAACATTAGTATTCTGTTGACACCAATCCATTTTAAAACAAAATTCTGTGGACATATTATCAAATAAAAAAATGCATTTCTTTGTTGCTTTTAATACGACCGCAAAAAAATTTTGTGGTTGTATATTGGTATCACGTTGTCGTCGTCGTCTGAAGACAGTTGGTTTCTGGACAATAACTTTAGTATAAGTAAATAGATATCTTTGAAATTTAAACACAAGGTTTATAACCACAAAAGGAAGATCTGGATTGATTTTGGAGATTATGGTCCCAACAGTTAAGGAATTAGGGGCAAAAAAAGGGGCCCAAATAAGCATTTTTGTAGTTTCCAGACAATACCGGTAACTTGTGTTTAAGTGTATAAATCTCTCTGAAATTATACCACAATTTTCCATACCACAAAGGGATGGTTAGGATTGACTTTGGGGGGTTATGGCTCAAACCATTTAGGAATTAGGGGCAAAAAAAGGGGAAAAACAAGGGTTTCCTGGTTAATGGACTTTTTTTAAAGCAGTGTAAGGGAGGTAATCCAATCACATTTAATATACAATGTTGTATATGTGTTGGATTACCTCCCTTACACTGCTTGTAAATTATGTATAAAAATGCTGTATTGTCTTGAGGTGATTAGCTGTCAATTTATTTTTAAATGTTACGGTAATTAATATTAATTTTAGCCTTGAATATGTATGTCATTTTCTATTTTAAGACTTTTATGATGTATTTTAATGGGTAATTATGGTTGCAAACTCCATTACAAATTTGAATTTAGATTATGACCTTATCTTGAGGAAAAGATTTTTTTTTCAGAAAAGGGAAAAGGGGGAATTGAAAAACAAAATTTGGGGGGGGGGGGCAATTTTTTCTCATTTCAGATTTCAGAAATTAAAAAGAAAATTTCTTCAAATATTATTTTTTTTGCATAAAAGAAATGGGGGGGGGGGGGGGGGGGGGGCAATACGCAACAGCATAGTGTATTGCACAAAAGCATAAATTGAATATAAATTCAAATCCTATTTCCAATTCTAAGTTCTTTGACTACAGTTATTCTGTGTCAGAAACCTATTTTGTGTCAGATATTTAATTACAATCCAAATTCAGACCTGTATCAAGCGCGAATATTGTGTCCATTTTTGCCCCAACTGTTCAGGGTTGGACCTCTGTGGTCGTATCCAGCTGCGCTCAGCGAAATATTTATTATGTTCATGCTATATATACATTTATAGTTCTATTTCTCAAATTTTTAATTGGCTATCTTCATAATTATAATTGCTACACATACCATTTTATTCGATATTCAGATGCAGTTTAATGTGTTCTAAACAAAATTGCATCATAATCCAAATATCGTCTAATTATGTAAACATTTTACCTGTGTCGTCAAAGCAAAAGCAGGTCTAGTAACTGCTCAACTCCCTCGGTCCATCAGAAAGACATTAGGTTGGATTCTATGAAAGGGAATGATTTATATTTGATCTGCAGTTTGATAATGCTGTGCAACCACTTCCTATTTGCCGACCATTTGAAATTTTACAACACTCATTGTACAAGGAAATCATCACATGTTTTGGGGGTCTTTAAAGAAATGGGAATGATCAGTTATGTTTCAGTATACATGTTACCTCAACAATTGCATGCTGCGATGCAGGTCAAGCCCCGGTATTGATATTGTTCCTTAAAGAAGCAGCATCTATGGGTTTCACCAAAAAAATGTTTGACAGTTTTTTCAAGAATATAGTACATTGTGTTTTGGGGCAAGTCTTGACATCTTTTTCGCAATAATTTACTTTTCATTTAATAATGACGTGAGTGCACATTCTGGCATAATTAATGAGCTCTGGTCTAACAGATGACAAAAAAAAAAAAGAATTTTTCTCTTAATTACAATAATAAGAGTCCTGAAAATGACACGAAACATATTTTTTCTATGATATCTATAAAGTTACTGCATTTTTACGACTTCAAAAAATTCATGAATTTTGTAGATACTGCTTCTTTGAGTAAATTTCTTTATGTTGATTATTTTGTAGGTAAGGGAGATAACTGAAACAATTTGTTCTGGAATTCAGCCACTACAGAACTTAGTTGTTCTTCAGAAAATTGGAGACGAGAAGAAGAACGAATGGGGACATTTTTGGATAAACAAAGGATTTGTAGGTGAATACAACATACATTTTTATATACATCGTCATTGGATACTTATATTCATTACATACTGTTTTCACTGAATATATTCTGAAATTGTCTTTTGTAGATCATAGAACACAAGCTACATTACCTTTTTGTAAATTCTGTTACATTAAGCATTTCCGATTTATAGCTTACAACTGAAGAAGAATACTAATTGTTCAGGTTTCTACCAGACAATAAAACTTGTATCAATGATTTTATTTTATTTGACTATACATAGTTTGTAATGCTGTTTGTTTTTCCACTTATAGCTTTGGAGAAATTACTAGATAAAACTGCAGGGAAATATTGTTTAGGGGACCAAGTAACCATGGCAGATTTATGTTTAGTGCCACAAGTTGGTAATGCATTAAGGTAAAGTTTGTCAAAATGAATAAAGCCAGTATTTATATTGCTATATATATGTACAGTTATGAGAACTCATGATCCTACATCCTGTTGATACTATTTACTTATATTTTGGCCTTGCACAAGGTCATACGTTTCTCAGACTTTTGATGATGTCTTTACACTAAATCCGTTGGATATACACTGATTGATACTTTAGTCTAGGAGAATGTGATTTATTTATTAGTTGGTTTTGAACTATCTTTCAGTTACTGTGAGTACTCTTATATCAGTGCTTCATGTTAATTGTTTTTGTGTTAGTGTTTTTTTCTTCATACCAATTTATTGAGTTAAGCCAAATGCAACTGATTTTTACAATTTGTTCTTAAGTTGTGTTGTTACACCACTGTCCCAGGTAAGGGGGAAGGTTGAGAGCTCACAAACATCTTTAGCCATTCACATTGTATATGTACCTGTCCCAGGTCAGGAGCCTATAGTTCAGTGGTTGTAGTTGGTTTATGTCTATTATTTTTGTAGTTTGTAAATTGTTTTGTTTAAAATTATATATTTTCCTCTGCAGTTATAAAGATTTCATAACCTAAACCATGTATTGCTCCTATAGTTATCTCATATTTGAATTTTAACAAATGAATCTTGTCAGCCAACAAAAAAGGAAGCTGTTATTAAAAGGTCTTCACCACATTTATTTTTCTGTATGTTTTTCTGTCTGTTCATAAAAAAAAAATTGTCGATACAAAATATTCTACAGGAACAAAACATGATAAAATAGCTTTACGCCATGTGTTTTTATGCAGCTTGATATTTATTTTTTGATCAGAATGACTTTTGAAGATCATATTAACAGTACATGGACTTTATAATTTTGCCCATGGGGATATCACTATATGTTGCATGGGATATAGATTATAATTGTACTTGGCATAAAAAAGGATAGACATGCTTGGCAATTCTTTTATTTTTAATTGTTTTTAAATGTCATACAAGTAAATATTATACTCTTAGACATTGTTAAGTTATTTCTTATTAGTAAATTTTGCATTTGAAGGTATATACTTTTCAAGTATTATTTATGGAAATTCAGAATATTTAGGTTTTTATCTCACATATATGGCATGCCTGAAAAAGGATGATTTGTTTGTTATAATGGTAAGTGATTTCTCAATGTATCTCTTTTCAGATTTAATGTAGATATGTCAATGTTCCCTTTGATATCAAAGATCAATGAAGAATTATCTAAACTGGAAGCATTTAAAAAAGCTCATCCGTTTGCACAACCAGACTGTCCAGAAGATCTTAGACAGAAATAAAAAGGTAACTGCAGTCAAAATTTTTATGGTATAAATTTTGTTATAAATCCTTAGTAGACTGAATGTGGACAAGGAATATGAATTTTAAGAAGGCAGATGTAGAACATAAAAGTTATGAGTTTCCACCATTTTTATACGACCGCAAAAAATTTTTGGGGTCGTATATTGGTATGACGTAGGCATCGTCGTTGTCGTCCGAAGACACATTGGTTTCACACTCTAACTTTAGTTTAAATGAATGGATCTCTATGAAATTTTACCATAAGGTTCAATACCACAAAAGGAAGGTTGGGATTGATTTTGGGGGTTATGGTACCAACAGTTAAGGAATTAGGGGCCAAAAAGGGGCCAAAAATAAGCATTTTCTAGTTTCCAGACAATAACTTGTGGAACGGTGTATGGATCTCACTGAAATTATACCACAAGTTTCCATACCACAAAGGGATGGTTAGGATTTGCTTTGGGGGGTTATGGCTCAAACCGTTTAGGAATTAGGGGCAAAAAAGGGGGGGAAAACAAGGTTGTCCTGGTTAATGGACAAATACTTTAGTACAAAACATAATTTAAAGCTGTGTAAGGGAGATAAATCAAATACAATATTTGAATTACCTCCCTTACACTGCTTTTAAATTATGTATAAAGTAATAGTTAACGAACAAGTAAGACAATTTAAAACAGTGTAAGGGAGGTAATCCAAATTCAATGTTTTGATTACTTCCCTTACACTGCTTTTAAATTATGTTTAAAGAAATGCATATTTATAAAGAAAGACCAGTAAAAATATCTGCAAATGTTGCATCTTTTTTTTTTTACAAAAAAATCCATATGAAAGATTTGACACCATATTTTAAATTCTATTATAAAATAGATTAAGTTAGCACTATGGTAAATTTAAATGGGTAATTGGAAATTTGAATTGCGATTATGACCATATCTTGAGGGAAAGAATTTTTTTGGGGGAAAAGGGGGGGGGGGGTAAAAAGAAATTGTGGGGGGTCAATTTTTTCTCATTTCAGATTTCAGAAATTAAAAAGAATTATTCTTCAAATATTATTTTTTTTTCAAATTTCAAATATTAAAAAATTTCAAGAAGTAATCTTTAATTGCACAGTATGGCGCATTAGATTTGTAAAATCTTTGACCACATTTATTTATTTGTTATGCCGAATCTAACCATGTATTTAGATTTTTAATTTTGGGTCCAGTTTTCAAATTGGTCTACATTAAGGTCCAAAGGGTCCAAAATTAAACTTAGTTTGATTTTAACAAAAATTTAATATATGGTGTTCTTTGATATGCTGAATCTAAACATGTATTTAGATTTTTGATTTTGGGCCCAGTTTTCAAGTTGGTCCAAATTTGGGTCCAAAATTAAACTTTGTTTGATTTCAACAAAAATTGAATATATGGGGTTCTTTGATATGCTGAATCTAACCATGTATTTAGATTTTTTATTTGTGGGCCGCTATCAAATTGATTCATATTGAGGTCAAAAGGGTCCAAAATTAAACTTTGTTTGATTTCATCAAAATTGAATTATTGGGGTTCTTTGATATGCCAAATCTAACCGTGTATTTAGATTTTTAATTTTGGGTCCCGTTTTTTAAATTGGTCTACATTAAGGTCCAAAGGGTCCAAAATTAAACTTAGTTTGATTTTAACTAAAATTGAATTCTTGGGGTTCTTTGATATGCTGAATCTAAACATGTGTTTCGATTTTTGATTATGGGCCCAATTTTCAAGTTGGTCCAAGTTGGGGTCCAAAATTAAACTTTGTTTGATTTCAACAAAAATTGAATATATGGGGTTCTTTGATATGCTGATTCTAACCATGTATTTTGATTTTTGGGCCCCATTATCAACTTGGTCCACATTGAGGTCAAAAGGGTCCAAAATTAAACTTTGTTTGATTTCATCAAAAATTGAATTCTTTGGATTCTTTGATGTGCTGAATCTAACCATGTATTTAGATTTTGGATATTGGACCATAATAGGTAAATTAAAATTTTTTAAGTTCTTAGACCACATTCATTCTGTGTCAGAAACCTATGCTGTGTCAAATATTTAATCACAATCCAAATTCAGAGCTGTATCAAGCTTGAATGTTGTGTCCATACTTGTCCCAACTGTTCAGGGTTCGACCTCTGCGGTTGTATCAAGCTGCGCCCAGCGGAGCATTTTATTATTTTTGTGAAAGATGGATGAATTATGGTGTATGGTTGCCTATCTCTCCATCCAATCATTTATTCCAAAGAATAGCTTTAACAAATTTACCCAATGTTAAGTTTCAAGAAGACTAGTGACTAGTTTTGATTTCTTTCTAATCAGTTGTTCCAGAGTTATGGAACTTAATACTAAAAAAATAGTCTTTTATGTGGTTTCACAAATCCTTATGGAATTTTTACACAAAGTTAGATTTTATAAACACTAGGTAAGGTTTGATTTTTAGAATAATTAGATTGTCATTCCTGAGTCATGATTAACAAGGTTATTTATAGATCTGAGGATAACCCAAAACTGCTTTCACCAAATCAATATGTTAACAATATGTAAAAAAAAAAATTTAAATAATAAGTAAGCTCACTTTTGATTTTGAACCTTTTCAGGTTTTCAGTATTTTAAAACAAGTTATATTCTATTTGATATTTATCTTTAAAAGAAGACTGACATTTTATTTTATTTTTCAGCAACAGATTTAATGGGGAAAAAACTTCAAGTAGCCAAATACATGTTGGATGGACAGCTGGACACTGTTCAGACATTTTATTACCAGTTTTATGGCAGCTATATAATGATCTAATGTATTTTCTTGTATTATAATTTTGACTATGAATCTCAGTTGTCTCTTCTTTTATACTTGCATACCCAAAATTATTGCCTTAAAATGATTGCCTTTTTTCTAGAGTTTATTTTGATAATTTAAATTCAGACACATGCAGTTTAAACATATTGATGTTGAGTTTAACAGTGTGTAATGATCAGGAGAAAATAAATATCTCCTTGCCTTATCAAAGCATTTACAGTAGAGACACAATTATGTTTTTTCTGGACTGATTGGAATTTTTTAGTTGAGTAGAACAAGTTTACATGTATTTTTAACCAGAAAGGCTTGATGTTATGGTATAGAAGTTTACAGTAAGAATTATTATATTTTTTTAGTAAAAGCTTGTGATATGATCAACTGCTTTAAAATAAAACATATTTAAAGAAATGTAATTATGTTTGTTTAATGTTTTCAGCCCTCCAGGGCATGGTTTGATTATATACTTGCCTGAAGACTTGTGGTCACACTGTATTGCTTTTGTTCCCTATTCCATGTCATCTTTTGTTGGATTTAGTTCAAATTTGGTATGGTGGCATGGTATAGTATGAAAATGAACTTATCCTTTCAATTTTTCGTCTTTGGCTTTGTAAACACAGCAATGTTCTAATTCCAACAAAACATCATGTACATGTGCTGGACATCAGTTTAATTTGCCATGTCCGTTGTATTTTGAACAATGCTAGTGATAAAAATCGACATTTCTATGGGAGTTAAAGAAATTAAAAGTCTTTCAATAACAAAATATGTCTACATGAATGAATATCTAGGTACCAATGCTCATGAACCAATCTTTAAAGTGTTGCAGTGAATTGAAGATTACTGCTCCATGTTGAGCCTCACTGTGACTTAGAAATGAAGCAGAAATAAAAGTGCTGTTCTGCTGCCTTTTTTTATGTGTGTAGGAATTTTATGTCATGAATTGATACAAAATATCATTTCTGATCTATTAAGACTTGTGTACTAGACCTACAAAGAACATTTTGATTTCTGAAAACCCTTTTTACAAGCATTCACTTCTTAGATCATCTTTATGCATATCTAATATTTAGACACCAGTCAGTCTTTGATGTGTAGGGATTTTTTTTGTCCCATGGCATAATGCATAACTCCAAAAATTGCCAAGTGCTACAGTTTCTTGGCTTAAATGATTTTATATTTGGTCTGCAGCTTGATAATGTTGAGTTGTAGCATGTAACCAGTTTTTATGCCCCTGCCGTAGCGAAGGGGGCATTAAGTTTTACCCTTGTCCATCTGTACGTCCGTATGTATGTCCGTCCGTACGTCCCATAGTTGGTTTCTGTTCTACAACTTTAGTTTGCCTAAACCAAATGTTATGAAACTTATACACAATGCTTATTACCACAAAACACAGATCAAGTTTGAATTTTGGTGGCATCACTTTAACCATTCTAGAGTTATGCCCCTTTACAAATGGAAAAAGCAATTTTTCCTTTCCGTTCTCTAACTTAAGTTTGCCTCAACCAAATGTTATGAAACTTATACACAATACTTATTACTACAAAAGTCAGATCAAGTACAAATTTTGGTAGCGTCACTTTTACTGTTATTCAGTTATGTCCCTTTATAACTTAATATGATATGCAAGCAGGGTCATCATCTGTGTCCCATGGACACATTCCTCATTTATTATAATCATCAGTGCTGCCACTTCCTGTTTGCTGATGTTTGAAATTTTACAACACTCATTGTACAAGTGAAATGTTCATCAAGCTTTTCTTGGCTTCAAAGTTCTATGAAAGGGAATGATTCAATATATTTGCAGATAGTTTGAAATTTTACAAGGTCTTTCCTACTGACAGACAGAGTTGAGCAGTTACTAGATCTGTTTTCCATGTTGATGACACAGGTTAAAAACAACACAGAAAATAGTTGATATATGGATATTTTCAGTCCAATTGGCATCAAACCATGCAAAATTGATGAAGATTTTTGTTTGATTCCTCTGATTTACAGATAATGTGTGAGAAAAGGATGATATTTTGATCAGCATAAAAACAGATCATCTCAACTTAACAAGAACAAGGACACCATGCTTGCTCACTGTCTCACGTTATATTTCTATGTTCAGTGAACGAGGAGTCAAAACCTTAAAGTGTGATATTATTTTAAAAAATTCACATCATAATGAACCCATGTTACAAATTTCAAGTTACTATTACCATAACTTCAAGATAAAATACTGTAACATTTATTTAACTACATACACACTATCACATTTCCATGTTCAGTGAACTATGAAATCTGGGTCAAAACCCTAATTTGGCATATTTTTAGAGTACACACCATAATATACATAAATAAATGTGGATAGTGTCCACATGTAAACACAGATGATGCCCCCGCTTGCATATCATATAAGTATAAAGGGACATAACTGAAGAACGGTAAAAGTGACACTCCCCAAATTTGAACTTGATCTGAGTTTTGTGGAAATAAGCATTGTGTGTAAGTCTCATAACATTTGGTTGAGGCTAACTTAAGTAGAGAACAGAAACTAAAAATCCAGCAATTTTTCTATTTGTAAACATGCATAACTCTAGAACGGTTGTGTATAAGCTTTATTACATTTGGTTGAGACAAACTAAAGTTAGAGAACGGAAACGAAAAATTCAGCAATTTTTATGTTTATAAAGGGACATAACTCAAGAATGGTAAAAGTGTCGCCACCAAATTTTCGTACTTAATCTGTATTATGTAGTAATAAGCATTGTGTATAAGTTTCATAACATTTGGTTGAGGCAAGCTAAAGTTGGAAAACGGAAACAAAAAATTTGTACTTGATCTTAGTTTTGTGGTAATGAATATTGTGTATAGGTTTCATAATGTTTGGTTGGGGCAAACTTAAGTTACAGAATGGAAACTAAAAATTTTGCAATCTTTCGATTTATACAGGGGCATAAATCAAGAATGGTTAAAGTGACACTACCCAAATTCAACTTGATCTGTGTTTTTTTATCAGTGGAAGTCAAAATTAAACATTGCATTGTATAAAGCATTGATTGTAGTTGATTCGACTATAATCATGAACAAAGGAAGATAACTCCAATTTTAAAAATTACTTGATATTTAGAAAAAAATAAAAATTTTGCAATTTGTCCATTTATAAAGGGGCATAACTATAGAACGGTAAAAGTGAAGCCACCAAAATTCAAACTTGATCTGTGTTTTGCGGTAATAAGCATTGTGTATAAGTTTCATAACATTTGGTTGAGGCAAACTTAAGTTAGAGAACGGAAACTAAAAATTTTGCAATTTTTCCATTTATAAAGGGCATTACTCTAGAACGATTAAAGTGACGCCACCAAAATTCATACTTGATCTGTGTTTTGTAGTAATAAGCAATGTGTATAAGTTTCATAACGTTTGGTTGAGGCAAACTCAAGTTGGAGAACGGAAACCAATTTTGGGACGTACGTACGTACAGACGGACAAGGATAAAACTTAATGCCCCCACCACTATGGCGGGGGCATAAAAACTTCTATGTCATTTGGTCTATTGTGGAGAGTTGTCTCATTGGCAATCATACCACATCTTATTTTTATATGTGTAACAAGTTTCAAATTGATATGACCAAATAACTTAAACCTAGTACTGGACTGAATGACTAACGGATGGTCAACCAGACCAGAGAAATTAATATCCTTACATTAACTTGGATGGAAAATTGGTATTTGCTGCTAGGGTGCTAAGCATACAGCATGTTAAAAATCTGGCTCAACAAGAACGTCTAGTACAAAGCAGAGTATCAATTATATCATATTTATATAATTTTGTCTAGAATTGGCATGTACCGGTATAGCATTCCTCAACTGATAATTCAAAGTATTGGAATATAGTGTCAGACAGATTCAAAAATTTGTAAGGAGTTCCGTGGAACCCTTCGTCTCGCCTAAGATTGCTGCTGTCAGTGTAAAAGTGTACTGTTGACTTAAAAATGAGTCCATTTATCAGTAAAAATACAGAATTAAAAAAAAAATCAAACTTTTTCTTTAGATGCTATTTCTTGGTCTGGAAGATTAGCTTCTGTCAAAGTTTCATAACAAATCCATGAAGGTTTACAAACTCATGTCAAAAAAATGTCCCAGACTGTTTGTAAATGTTAACTGTTGAAACTAAGTCCATCTATCAGAAAAATACTGATGAAAATATATTTTCAAAAGTTTGCTTCAGACATTATATCTTAATCATAAAAAAGCTTCTGCCAAAGTATTTGATGCGCAACACACTTTTAACTCCAGACTGTATCTACTTGTAAACTGTAAAAATAAAAGTAAGTCCATTTATCAGTAAAAAATGGAAAAATGAAAATAAATATTTTCAAAATTTTGCTCTGAATACGGTATTTTGGTCATAAAAACAAGCTTCTGTCCAAATTTCTTAAAATTTCACGACGGTTTGACTGATGCCTTAAAAAAAACTTTAACAACAGACTGAACCTACATGTTGAAGCCGCCGACGCCGGAATCTAGGATCGTTGTCTCGCTTTTGGACTAACAAAGTAAGTGCAATATAGCTCCAACTAGGATATATTTGAAAACAGGCTATCTGTTGAATTTATTAACACCTAATAGTCTTGTGTTTGTCAATGTTGGTATTTAATTATTTTTTTTAAAACCTTACAACCACCTCAAGATCTCTAAATTGGTGAAATTCCATTCCTAGTTGCCGTCTCGTTGATGTCACCCACCCCGTTTTCCCTGTTTAATTCAGGAACACTTTATAGTCTTGTGCCATTTAGAGCTTGTAAAACAATGTTGGTACTTCACTTTTTAACCCTTATTACAGCCCTCAGATGTTTAAGATTAGTGAATTTGAATTTCAGGTATGCTATCTCATTGATACCCCTTGGTTGAATTCATTGATGTCTCATTGATGTCATTCCCCTTTTCCATGATTAATTCATAAACACTTAGTCTTCCTAACAATGTGGACACATGCCTATCTTTTTAAACCTCATTTCAAACATCTCCTTGCAACAACTTCCAGTTATCTGCTTTGAAGAAATTGCATTCTTATGTTGTTGTCTCATTGATGTCCCCATCTTGCTATATTCCTAATCAAACAATTAACTATAATCATTGACAATTATTTTAATGAAAACATAATAGATAGTACTGTCATTCATCCAAACATAAGAACAAAATCATTTAGGCATCTTACAAAAACAGCTGAAAAAATGGAAAATATATCTAGATATATATGATAGTAATTTCTTCTTACACAAGTGAACAGAACACTGAAAAAGCAGGGAATTTCTTAAAAGCAAACCTATCAAAACTCATCTTCATGTCTCGAGCAATAGGATTAAAATACCGATCCTGTTTGCAAGATCAGAAAACGCTCGTTTTACTTTTTGTTCCAGTTACTATT